GAGTACCTGTGCAAAGTTGGGGCCTGTGCTGCAAGAAAGATGCGTGCGCGCTGCAGAGAATCCATAGGAAAGCAACAAAATAATTTAGAGGTCTTCAAAATAAGATATCTAAGGAAAGCTGCTTAGTGTAGAAATGGGAAGATAAAGGAATGATAATAGAAGGCTGCTTCAAAGTGGCAAAAAAAAAAGAAATCCTTCTCCATGTCTGTGGATAGGAAAAGAATTGGTAAACTTAAAATGCGTCAAAAGAGATTTATATTCAACATTAGGAAAAACTTTCTAATGGTAAGATTAAATAACACTGAAACCAAGGATGGATTTAAAGAAAGACGAAATAGGCAATTGCATAAGCAGCAGTAAAATCATAGCAACAGCAGAGCTACCCCCTCAAGCAATTTCTTTTTGGCATCCAGAGCGGGCAGACTCTCAGGCCAGAACAGGAAGTGCCTGAATCTGAGGAGATGCATGCATGGCAACCCTTCGCGACTTTCCCTCCTGCACCGCTTGCTTTTCAGGGGAGCAGCTTTGTGGGTGGCAGGCTGCCCAGGCAGTGGGAAGGGTGATGGGAGGGACTGGAGCTTTTCCTTCAGCTCCCTGTTCTTGACCTGCAGCTCCTTGTTCTTTTCCAGTGCAATCAGGTGTGCAGCGATGGCTTCTGAACTGCTACCACGGGGCTGAATGTCATGGCCCCAGGGAGAAGAGCAGACCAAGTTTGGGGGATTTTTGTCAGAACCCCCGAAGTCTCAGTGAAATTAAACTTTGCTGCAACTAGAGGGAGATGCTTGAGCAAGCCCTGATGAGAACTGGTAAAGTCAGGAGTGCGGGGAGCCTCCAACACTGGCTTCATTAAGAATGGATTTGACAGTCATTTGACAGCTGTCACTTAGTTACAGTTGGTCGTGTCCTGGGGCAAAGAGGTGACCTACACGATGTCTTAATGTGCCATCCGTTATTTCTTTACTCATCTGCTTTTTTACTGAGAACTCTATTAGAAAGAGACTGATTCCAAATCCAGCTTCTGTTGAGGATGTCTTTTGGGTGAAATGGGACAATAAAAACATTCAAAGAAGGAAGGCGGTTAGATAATTTAGAATATAATTTTTAACTATTCCGTACCCTTTTCAGTATGTCCCTGTAAATAATTTAACAAAGGTGAGGTAGAAAGTAAAGCAGTGCAAGACAAGACTTTATTATACTTTTATAAACTCTTTGTGAGACTATTTATAGGTTAATTACGTATCTGGAATGCATGAGGATGCACGTGAAGATCTGGCTGATAGCCTTCTAATGGGGCTCCCTGGAGGCTTTCCCTAGTTATGGAGATGGAGAGCAGATGGGTGCCATTCTGAGCTCAGTGTCTCAGGTACCATCAAAGGCCACCCCCACTGCTTGTGATTCAAATAGGAGTGTCATTAGATCTCCTGACAGACAAGACATAGGCGTGAGCGCTGTCCCTACCTTCTCAGGTTCTCTTTAAATTTCCTGTCTTTTCATTGATCTCTCATAGGTTCCCTAAAGGAGGGGACATTTTCCCCCCCCAGGTAGGTTTTCATGGCCAAATTACCTATTGGAATAATTGCAGTGAAGGTCAGAGAATCACACAGCTGGAGAATTTGTGGTATCATTAAAGAAATGGTGGGAGTATATTAGATACCTGCTTGTTCACTAAGACGCTCTCAGGTAGTTGATTCTAGGCTGATAAGATTTGTTTTACACTGATAGCTGTATGGGTAGTTAGTGAAGAACTGGAATAGACAATTACTGAAAATAATTGATTTTCAAACTACACTTCTTTCCCAATTAAAATTTTCCTGAGGCACTCGAAAGCTATAATTTAAAGCTGTAATAGAAATCCAGGCAAGTCCTCGCTTGCAATGATTTTTTTTAGACATGATAACCATTTTGAGTCATGCAAGCAGTAAAAAAAAAAAAAAAAAAAAAACCCTCCTTTTTATTATAAATTATCTAACTTTACACTTTTGTTTATATTGGCTTAAAATTGATTTTGGTATGTTTTTCACATGTGTTCCAAACAGGAAACTGAAATTGGAGGCTGCTTTTCATGCCAGGAAAATAATGCATAAAAATATTCAGTCTGGTGTAATCACACGAGACTTTACCATTCACTTGGATGATACCAAATTTTACCCTGTACTCTAAAACTGAGATTTCACTGGAGAATGACGTTAACAGTCTAGCCCTGCTAGTATAAAACGCACTTCTTTCATAAGCTTGTTATGGGCTACTAGTCAGGTCAGTGTAATTCTAGATTGTTTCGTACCTAGATTGTTTGATACCTGCGCTGTCTGTAGAGATCAGAGAAGCCAGGATTCCCAGTCAGGTATTTGAATGCTTGGACCACGGGGTTTGTGTCTTTCAGAACAGCTGTTACCCAGCAGCAGCAGCAGCCGTAGTACGTACCTGCTGGTGAAATAAGGGGGGAATGGAAGCTAGGCTCTCTTCCCCTCTCTGCCCTTCTGCCTTTGATCCACATGGGATCTTTCTTCTCCCATTTTAAGACTCTTGCTCTTAATAACCCACTAGTCTGCTCAGCAGCCTCTCCTTTTCCCAGCCTTGCTTTTGACTTTGTGCAAGTTTGCATATGGCTTTATTTTCATGGAATGGAATTTGTAAAGGGTTGTGGTTATTTGAGATGGGAACTTATGAGAGAAAATGTAGTGCACTTAAGAAAATGCTGTTGAGGTAACATACATTAACGGTATTGTCGGTTCAAGGAAAGATAAATATCTTTGCGAGTATTTATTTTATTTACAGTTCAAGTTTGTCTGATTGCCATCAACACTATAAATGATACTTGTTTGTGAAATAAATAAATTCTTATCCAAGAGGTCTCACACCACTACCTTTGCTTGTGGGCTCTATTAATAGACTAACCTCACCATCATTATGTCTACTCAGTGCTTTGACTTTGCCAGAAAATGTTGATCTGTAGCATGGTCTGTCCAAGGGCAACAGCATCATTAATTGCTAAGTGATCTGCAGAACAATTAGAGACCTCCTGGCTGTTGTACAAATAGATGAATGGAGCTGTCTACCTAATCAGATACGGTTGTATCTATCTGTGGACCCAATTGTGTTGTTCAGAAACGTCTTCAACATCTGTCACTTTCCCGCTTCTCACAATAACATATGCCGTGCTCTGCTCAACAGGGTTTCTGCTCAGAAGCCTTTCAGGAGAATTTTCTTTATGGGAGTGTATGTGTGTGCGCACACAGTTTTAAAAGACTCGTTATCTTATATATACATACATACATATGTAAATATATATGTGTGTGTGTTCTCAGATTTGCTTTTTATGAGGCAAGCAGAAAGGATTAGTCTAACGTTTGTAAGCACGCAAGAAGATGTAGTTCACATTTCCATTAACAGCATGAAGGAAGGACAAATATATTAAAAATCAGCTCAGAGCCTGGATGCGGTAAATTTAGTGACTAAAGAAATGAATAGAAGTGATGATTTTCTAGGCTATTCAGAGCAAAGACTCTTTTATTACATGTTTCTTCAGCACCTAGTGTAGTGGGAGGCTATCCTTAAATTTGCTCTCTCAGGCCTAAATGATAAATGGTAAGAGTAAGACTGTGTATTTATCGGTGTCATACTTTTCTGTGAAGGAAACCAATTAGGAGGGGGCTAGACAATTAGTAATCAGTCCCCGTAAAGTTAGATAGCCCAAATGTTGCCTAAGTATCTTCTGCTTAAAATATTTGTATTGAGATCCAGGTGATATTTAATGGAAAAAACAGATCAGCCACTGTCACTTGTGTTCTCTCAGACAGGCAGCAGTGTTCCAAATCTGTGAAGCAGCACACTGACTCTGGTCAGATTCGTCCCTATTAGCGCACTAGTATTTTCCTAAAGATTACTACCAAACATTTCCAGAGGGTTTGAAGGATTTAGCCTACTGTTTGGGAGAGGTGGGGGAGACTGTATTCTTTTCAAAGCAAATGAGATTTTTTTTTTTTTACTCCTAAGTCTTAGGATGTTTGAGAAGTAAAAATAAGCCTTGCGCGCCTCACATTGGTGCTGTCGTGTGTGTGTGTGATACTTAGTTTAGTGCCTCTAGACAATTCAGTGTTGAAGATAAGGTGCTAAAGTTTGACTGTCTTCACATTCTGTGTTTACATATGCCAATGTTTTAAAGCTCTTTTTTTATAGCTGGTCGTGAGATTTGTTAGCAAAATTCCTTTAACTGTCAGTCTGTCATTCTAACTAGAGTTGTAAGTTGCTTTTGGTTTAAATGGTGTACAGATTTTAAGATGGCATTTTCTTCCCTGAAGTATTACTTATATTCTTCTGTTTAGCACTAAAGCACTGAGAAACACAGCCAGGGAGTGACTGCTAGTGTTTTTACTGGTATGTCAGGCCTGGTTTGAGAGAGTGAATTTTTATAGAAAAGCTGTTACTTCTTGTAGTAGTGGCCTTGCTATACAGGACAAGGGCCAGAAGATGAGCACAAGTGGGAGAACCCATACGGGTGGACAGAACTGTGTAGGCTGCTTCTTCGTGTGGGAGTTTGCCCCTGCTTTTTTAAGGCATGGTTAATCTGTAAATTAGCAGCGCGTCCACTGACCATCCTTTCAACCTCTGAGCGGGAAAAAGGGAGCAGGGGCTCCCTGCAGAGAGTGACTGAGTGGAGCCCCGTTCTCCTGCCCCTCTGGGCTGGGCGCTGGGAGAGAAGCAAGAGGATTCATCTGGTAGATAGAGAGGTAGGAGGGAGAAGGTGATCCTTTTAAGACAACAAGAAAAACTACCTGATTTGCGTTCCTTTAAGAAGCAGTTACTAAAAAAATGATATTTTTCCGTAAAAAGTGACTTGGTGGCTCCTGCTCTTATTTTGTCTTTACATATCAGTATGCTACACATAGTTAGGAGCCGCATTATTTTCACAGAAATTATCCCTGTTTCAGTAGAATGGTTTTGTGATGCTGTCTTTGACACCGTGTCAGGGGTTAGGGGGTGCGATAGAATAACAAACTAACCTGCCACCTTCTGCAGACAGGTGTTCAGATGCACTGTAGATCACATGTAGAAAGGAGTCTGGTGGTCCTGTCCATATTGCTCTGTTTTCTATCCAAAAAAGGGAAGAAAAACGTGGAAAACACTTTATTTTTGGCAACCTCCCTCTTTATTTTTCCTCCGTATATCCTGCTGCCCTCCATTCAAATAAAAACAAGCACAAAGCGTAGTGCAGGTCACAAGGAAAGGAAGAAAAAGTCTGAAGCAGTAGTCTAAAAGGCAAAGGTCACATTTTCTAACAGTACAGCGCTGCAAAGGGTAGATGTTTATAGCAGGAGGGATTTGGTCTTTATTCATAAATGGTTGTAGTTTCCACAGTTACTAGGATGCTTAGGACCACAGAAGACACCCACGCCTCAGCTCTGCTTTTCCCTGCGCTGCTCTCGTGTTATTGGCAATTGGATTTGGAGCTGCAGCAATGCTATGTCACTTGCATAAGCAAAAAGCTTTCTTGGGAAAGTGGCATTATACTGACTTAGTTGAATTAGTTATCGATAACAAAAGATTTTTTCTGCAGTGTAAAATGTAAGAGTGGAGGATTTGAGCTTACAAATACTTTGCACGCTGAAAATGTTTTTCCTTTTTTCCTGAAGCAAATGGTACTTTTTCTCGGTAAGACCCTAACCTCCAAATGTTTGGAGTCAGAATTTTTGTTTAATGATCAGAACATTACAACTGAGATAGGCTGTTTTGTGCTGCATAGGAGTTCCTTATAGGGAAGTCTCTATATCCAGCCTGTGCCTCATGTAATGAACCATGAATAATCTCTCTCCTTTCTGTCCAGCAAAAGCATCGTGGCTGTCTGTCTCAGCAGTCCAAAGAGCAGTGCTCTCTCTCGAGATCCTGACCCAGAACCGCAGGAGGTTTTTATATGTTGTTCTGCATGGTCACATCTTAGTTTAAAAAATCAGCCTTTAATGAGAAACAAAATTTTTCAATAAAAGCTTTCCTTTTTTCCATTGAAAAAGCAGACTTCCAAGAAGCAAAATGTTTAACCAAAAGCCTAATGGTTTCAATAGGAAAGAATTTTGTCATGTCTTAAAATTGTATAGAAGTAGTAATAGTGAATGCAGTACCTGTAACCGCTTGCCTTGTCCGCGTGCTCTTCTCAGTGCACGTTCTTCCCAGCAAGTGAAATGACAGTCACAACCATGGAGCTCTTCTTCTGGACTTTGCAGTGACTTTTGTGACCTTGGCTCAGTCAGAAAGGGCTAGATGCTGCCACTCTTACTCATGCTCAGTAGTCTTTTCCGATTTAAGCAAGCCTATGGTAGTCAGCCGGGCTGCCTGTAGAGTAAGGTGATGCTTATTTAGAAGCTGGGAAATTAAAACTGGGCAATATATCATGCAGTCTTACTTAAACATTAGGAGCAGCCTCGGAAGCTGTCTGTGTCTGTCTGGAGTTGTGTGGAGTGGCATTTAGTAAGCAAAATGAATCATACTGCCTTTGTGTGTTACTAGCCAGCACTTCTTAAAGGAAAATTTGCTTAAAGGCAGAATTACTTAATTGGTTCATGTATTTTTCATCTGTGGAGGTAAGTAGTTGTTGTTGTTGTTGAGGCTAGTCCCTTTTAATTGATGAACTCTGCAGTGGCTGACCACAAGTCCTCCCCTCCCACCCCTTTACCTTGTTTGCCAGCTCCCTGCTCTTAGTAATTTCTTTGGTCATACGCTCTCATCTACTCTTCATTTCCGTTTGCTAAAATGAATTAATAACAGTTAAAAGTGTATTTTTTCTCAAAGAAAATACTAACTGTTTCACTGCTGTCACCTTAAGCATTTACCTAATGAGCCAAACCCACACATTGCAAGCAGTTCCCTTTGTCTTCTTCGGGACCTAATCCCCAGCTGTTTCATGTCCACCAGCTGCTACAGCTATCAGCATTCATCATGAAGATGTCCAGCATTCACTTATACATTTTCAGCACAGTAGCATTAGCTTTGAAAAGTGCTGATAATATAGTAAGAGTACAAACTAAATCGCCTTTGTTGCAAAATAAATAATGTTGGCCGCTGGCGGCCACTGCAGTGATTATTTATTTCTCCGTTAAACGCTGCAGCACCTTCGTTTGAACTGCTGAAGGCTTTCTCGTTTGCCTTGCCAGAGTACAGCAGATATCCGAGACAAAATTTTGATTCAGCTGCTGAAGACTGCTGCGTGTGTGAGCTGAGCGCTGTCAGTGGCTGGCACCACGCTGCGGCCAGGGCAGCCCTTGATGCGAGCAGGACCTTGTACAAATACTCCCCTGCTTGTGCAGGGAGAAGCAGTGGCGGAACATTCACAAGTGCTTTTGGCATGGTTGCTGCCGATACCCTGGGGGCAGGAAGCGCACGTTGCCAACCTATGTGGTTTTTGTAATGGAAAACTTGTAGTTTACAGAAAAATTGTTTTTTTTCTCAACAATATTAGTTTCTTTTGCCTTTGTGCTTTTTATTTTGGAGCTGCGTGCCAACCATCTTATTTAATGAATGTATATTTTCATATAGAAGTACTGTAATGTTGGCATGGATGAAAGAGCTGAAAGAGATTGAGTCTTTAGAGTTTTAATAGAAAAAACAAATTAACCCTGCCAGTGTTAATTCTTTGAAAAATATCAAACTTTTGCATCTCTCTTACTGTTTTAAAGAATTTGAAGAATTTATGCTGCAAAAAGATCTCAGGAGTGTGTAAACTGTTTTTGAGTCTACTTCTCTAGTCTTTCCTAAGATCAAGTTAGTGTCACATTGTTGTCTCTTTCTTCAAATTTTAACATTTCTGAGTTCCAACCACACACTCGTAAGATTTAGGCTTCCGGGTAAAGTTTACAGTATAGCCCTTGGATGCTATATTATAAACTACTGTAAAAACAGAACTTCATGTAAAAATTATTCTTTGCAGTGATACCATATGACGCTTTTCGTGTATTTACCCTTTTGTGTATGAATAAATGCAGACTGCCATGAATTGCAAAAAACTGTAATGATAGGCTGTTTTATCTTTTCATTGTCCTGTCCTGTACTTGTGTAATCAGGAAAACTTCTTTTAGCTGAGAGTGGTTATAATCTCTCCTCTTGAGGAAGATCCACAGTAGTTTTTGTGGTCTTAACTTCAGAGCAAAATGTCTGGCCTGTACTGAAGTTTACCTAAGTCAGGTAGCTAAAAACTAATCACGTTCTTTAAAGTGTTTTTTTTCTTTCCCTGTACTCATCTACGTTATCCAGGAGGTCCACTGTAAATGTGAGAAATTTCTCTTAGTTCTCACTTTCTTTGCTGGTGTGGGAAAGCATTTCTCTAATAAATTAAAACATTTAGCCGTTGCAAACACAGGAATAGCCAGAAGCAGTAATTCTGCTTTTAATTTTTCTTGTATGCATATTTAATCTGCTAATTCAAATATAGAAAGAAAGAACAGTATATTTTAGCATCCATTCTGAATGCAACATCAGGCTTTGGCAAAAAGTGAAATGTTTTTAAGGCCCAGTGTAGCAGCTGTTATTCAGATAAAGCATGCATACTTGGGGGGTGGAATTGGACTGAATTACAAGGACTTAAAGGTCTTATATGGAGAGGTAGATTCTTCCAGCATTTGCTTAGAGTAAATCCAGAGTGGCTCCAGTGTTTATTCATTGTGTAACAAAGTACCTGGAGCACTTTAGGCTTTGCATAAATGTAGATTTATATTTAAACATATGAGAATATTAAAATTCTCTACCCAGATCTAATTCTAAGACAGTCCCATCTTAGCTAATTTACCGAGTGGAAAGCAGTTTCTTTAAGTGTGATATCACAAAATAGCACTAACCTGTTTATGCTCGGCATGTCTAGAAAAAAGACATGAAGCATCGTATTTGCAGGGAGGTAAGAAAAGCCTCTTCCTGTTCACAAGATTCTAGTAATGTACCATGAAGGCTAGTGCTCTGAGGCCATTTATCACATAGTTTTCTCTGTTTTTTTGGCAATTGAAAGTGATTTACTACCTCTTGGAAAAGAAAGGTCAAATTATATGCTGTAATACTTACCCAAGCGACTAGAGTACAGATTTGGGACGCAGCAGTTTCTTGAGGACACTATTGAAAGGCACACTCTGTGTATGTCCAAGAGGTGCAAACAGACCCCTGTCCTATGTGGGACCAGTTTATTTAGAAATATAAAGGTTTGCTAGCAAAGAAGTGAAACAAAGGTCATTTTTTTACAGCGTCTCCTGTCTCTTGTGAATAAGTATTCATTCTGTAGTACCAGTGCAAAGCTTTAAGATCCAGTTTTCGTAAAAGTGAGCTTCACCCAGATTAATTGCACTTTGTGAAAGAGTTTCTTTTCCTCCTTTCCAGCAATAACTCTTCTGTTGATGATAACTATATTCGTTGAAAGCTTAGCGTATCCGAATGTGAATACGTCATGAATGAAGTTAGTATCATATGCCACTATCATGAAATGTATTTTCATTCTCTTGTGTAGGCTAGAGCTTCCCCCATTCCTTGCAGAGCTCTAGAGATTATAACTGTAACAGGGGGAAAATCTATCCCTGCATGGGAGATTCAGTTATTTCAGCCGTTCAGGAAAGGAAGGATGATTTAACTGCCAGGAAAGATGTCAGTCAAGTCCGACGGAGCTCAGGATTCCTAGCAGGGAAGCTGGGTATCATGCCTACCCGTCAGGGGACCCGTAACCCTGAGCCATCTCGGTGTGTGAGGTTGCACAAAAGAGGAAAAATAAATATCTCCACATTGTTCTATCTTGCTATAAATAAATTATGTACATTGTTAGATACAGAAACCTGTGATCCTGCCAGCAAACTCGGTCATTCCGATCCTAGAACGTTTAACATCCATTTCGGTCATACCCTTTGCTGCTGTGAATGACTACGGAAGGTTCAAAATAAGAGGAAATTACAAGTGAATGGACTATGCAGTAAATCTCATTGAGATGATTTCCATTGTCTAAGTTGAGAAAAAGAGAAATTGAAGAGCAAAAGAGCACTATGTAAGTGGTATTGGAAAAGGTGGGGATTGTACTGTAAGAGATGAAGATGATGAAGTAGAGTAATGCCCAGAGGAGTGTAGGCAGAATAGGTGGGCATGAAAGAATATGCAGGTTTAAGGCTGAGAAGTGGTATTTCGTGTAGATACAGAAAACAGACTGGGTTGGGATCAATGAAAGCTCAGTATGCATTGGTCAGAACAAAGTGAAAGGATGCCAGATGATCTAAAGTGTGTGTACTGCAGTACTGAGTTTCTGAAAACTTGATTTTTCTGTTATGAGATGAAAAGGGGCACGATCAAGCAAACTGTAAGCCTGGAATAGAAAAAGGTGTACTCATAACCTCCCTGCAGTAAATGAGACACAGATTTCAGTTGTTTCTGTTTTAGTTAATAATGCAAAGTTGTATCTTCTTTCTGATTTCTGAGTTACGAAAGCTTTGATGTTTCTAGTTTATCTTTCTGCCCGAGGTTATCTGTTTTTTCCTCACTCCCTGCTTTGTCTTCAGATCAGATACGGATTTACTTTAGCATGCAGCAGAGGAGAATTTCCTTTAAAATACTTGATGCAGTGAGATCTTCTTTTTTCTCTCTCAGATGGACAGATAAGAGTCAAGTATCATTTTCAATAAAGGAATTATTAGTTACGCTCTTTTACCTCTTATACAGCTTACAGGCTCACATGCCTGCTGGCGTTCCTAAGAACTGTTGCTTCAGAAGGCAAAATGTCGGCAAACTGAGAAAGTGAGGTCTCAGTCAAAATAGGTGGTCAAGATGCATCCGTCACAAGAGCTCCTACAAAACTGCAAGATGGAAAGCTAATGGGTGATCCCAGCTAATCTGAATGGGAGTCACATCTTTTGGAAGTAAAGAGGGGAAAATGGAATGTGATTCATCAGGAAGCTGACCGTACAAGGGTTCAAGGACGCCAGCTCTTACTTAGTACTCTGGGGCTGAAATTTGGAATGATTTTGGATGGTTTTTTTCTTGAAATGTATTTACATATCCTTGGAAATGAAAATATGAATCTGTCTTAAGTTTTTTTTTTCCCAGCAGTGCTGTGTGGTAGCCCTCCTTAATTCCTGTTTCTTAATCATACTGAACGAACAAAGTAATCCAGGCTTTTAGGAGACTTTGTTCTTCCCCGACCAGAGTAACAGAGTAAAAGGACTGCTAAGTGGGCACCGTATGGGATAGCATACTAGGCACTATGCGAGATCAATGCCATCAAAAGCAGTTGATTTACTATATCATAATGGTTGAATTAAACCTGGATGATTTGTCAGGCTTTTCCTTTATGATTGAGTAGTGCTTTAACTACATTTATAAGAGGACTCTCAATTACACTCGGCTTTTTAGAATCGTGTTAGTGATTTTATTGGTGTTATCTGTTCTTGAGAAGGTGGAAAGCTGGAGT